GACGCAAAGAGGTCATCAATGATGACTTGCCTGTTGAGAGATCCTGGAGTTTCACAGAATCACAAACATCAACCTGAAGAACCACTTCTATTCTGAGTTAGACAGACATGTCCCTCGTCTTCAGAGTTTGTTCAGGAAGAAAGCTGCGCGCACAGGAAGGTGTCCGAAGTCCTGGATCAGCTCTTCAACACTTATGACCGCCAGGTGAGTTGATTATCCTTCTTCATGCATGATAATAATAGAACCCTGTTGGAACTCCCTATCTTCAGATTACATTAGGGCCAAATGATGATGCCATCGTTGATAGCTGACAGTCTTCTATCGTGAAAGACTGTTTGGAAAAAACACGACCAACAATAGAAACAATAAATGTCATCAAGTGTTCCGCTTTTGATATTGTCATTTGACAGTTTGGTAGGCATTACCTAATCGTATTCAAATACATCATATAGGGCTATTTCTTGTGATAAATTCTGTTCCTTCCCTGTTTGGCATTTCAAATTAAGATGATGTGTTTTCTCATACTTAAGGAACAAGTTGACGTCAATGTCCTCCGTGCTGCCGTCCTCCGTGCTCTCCCTACATATCTGCATGAGGATGACTCCGGATTTCTGAAGCTGTGGGATGTAAGTCAGCATATTATTAAGACTTGTAATGAATCTGTTGAACATGTTATATATTTCATCTGTTTTATTCAGATGCTGTCATTTTGGTGTATGATTGCCATGATATTAAAAGTGAAAAAGATTAATATAGTAATAATTGTCCTGCAACATCTACAGTAGGCTTAATCTTACCTGTGAGGAATTAGTAATTAAACTTTGCATTTACTGGTCAAACCTCAATTCATGCTGCAGTTTTTAAAATTCCATTTAAAACCTGCAGAGCTGGAATAGTATGCTAAACAATATCAACATCTATAGTGAGAATAAATGCAATATAGTGATTGTTTAAAAAAAGCTTGTCAGTTGAGTCATTGTCTTTCAGTACCATTTAGCTTTGATTGTTTTGAGGCCAAAAAAACAAAAAAGGGATAATTACTAAATTTAAAGTGGGAATTAAGAAATCCCTGAATAGCAATAGGGTAGTGTACTTTCCATATTTTTCCGCTGATCAAGAAACATAAACAGCTTTGGTACATTGTCATTCTATGGGAAACACTGAAGCTTAGGCAGTTGATTGTAACATTTCTCTGTCCTTGTCTTTAGCAGGCCCTGTCAGATGAACTGCAAATCGACAACATACCAGTTGGGCTCCTCCTGATCAGTGCCACTTCAACAGATGCTGCGGTATTCTGCCCCGAGAAGGTTGCCGTTGTGCTTGAGGGTAACACAGTTGAAAAAATGCCGTTGAACTCAAATGTAATGGGTTTCTGTTGGAAATGCCTGGGTTTTTCTAGTGTTGATGTACAGAACTATAGGGTAAACCTTTTGTCATTTTGCTGAAGTTGGCATTTCTTTAGTATATCTGTGTATTAAGTTGTCAACTATTCTTAAAAGTTACTGTGTTTCTGAACTATTTTACAATAGTTGTTGCTGTGTCTTTCTGATACAAAATTGGACTTTCTCTGGTTGAAGTTTGATATTTGTTTATTTGCTCCTGTGTTGTGTCATGAGGACAGGTCTGGAGATACAATGTTTACTCAGATATATGTCATTTGAATGTTTTGTCATGCTGCTGTTTTGAAAGCCTATGAGTTGGTTCCTGAGGCATATAGGCAAAGATTTAGAAGCTGGAGGAAAGTGATGTACAGACTCACGTAGAGTTTGCACGGATATTTCAGCTCACTTTGCACGCTGGTGTCCTGCCTCGGAGGTAGATCATTATGATGATTTGTGTAACCTTATGGTATTGAACAATTTAAGGACTCTGTTCCACACCACATTGCTGTACACATCAATGAGCGTAAGGTTAAGACAGCTTCAGCAGCTGCAGTGTTGGCAGATGAGTATGTGTTGACTCATGCTGGTGGCTCAGAATGGCGCTGGGGCGTAAAGGACAATGTGAAGTTTAGTCCAGGAAAGTTTGTTGGGGCTACTCAGGGTTCTCAGGCCAGTTTCAGAAGTGTACCAGGTACGGATGGTAGATTTGATCCAGGTAAACTGTGCCATTCATGTAAAAATAAGGGTCATTGGAAAGGGGAGTGTCCAATTTCCATGTCGAACAAAAGTCAACCGATCCAAGTGTGTATATGAAATCTGCTGTCTGGTGGCTTCACTGTCATCAGTGCAGAGTCTAATGGTGCCAGGAACATCTCCTGAACTGCCATCAAAGGGGGTTGATGAAATGTATGCCCCTTTCATGTCACATGGGTTTGTGTCTCTGAATGATGGTGAGATGAAACCTGTAAGTATTTTGAGGGATTCAGGGGCGTCCCAGAGTTTCATTTTGGAACGTGTGTTGCCGTTTTCTTCTGCTACAGACACTAGGGAGACGACTCCCGTTCGGGAATTTCTTTGGTTCCTTTGTTTGTGTCATTGCATCGTCTTAGCCTGTGTTCAGATCTGGTAAAAGGGGAAGTGGTCATGGGGGTACGGAACTCATTGCCATTGGAGGGTGTGGATGTTATATTGGGTAATGACTTGGCGGGGGCAAGAGTGTGGAAAGATGATCCACCTTCTGTTGGGGTAACAGCATCACCCGAGTGCTCTCAAGGTCCGGATGAGTGTGCTAAACAACATCCAATGATTTTTCCTGTTTGTGCTGTGACTCGGACAATCAACTTCAAAGAGTGGAGGTTTTTATATGGTGGTGGGGTATTATTGGGGGTTTTGCCAAATTTTGCGACTGTGGTGGCCCCATTGACAGACCTTTTGAGTAAGAGGACGGTTTTTGTGTGGTCTCCTAAATTTGAGGATGCTTTTGTTACGGTGAAATCCTTGCTCTGTTGTTCTCCTATGCTTGCAGCGCCAAACTTTGAGAAGCCCTTTAAACTTCAGGTGGACGCAAGTGGAGTTGGTGCAGGAGCTGTACTGTTGCAAGAAGGGAAGGGGCTATTGATCATCCAGTCTGCTTCTTCTCCCGTAAGTTCAAACGTCATCAGTTCAATTATTCAGTTGTGGAGAAGGAGACGTTGGCACTTACTTGGGCTCTAAAATTTTTTGAAGTGTATGTAACTTTGGGTCTGCACCAGTTACTGTATTCACTGACCAAAACCATCTGACCTTTCTGTCCAGCATGCAAAACAGCAATCAAAGGTTGAGGCGCTGGTTGTTGTTTTTACAGCCCTACAACTTTAATATCTGTCACCTCAAGCGTAGGGATAATGTAATGGCAGATGCTCTTTCTCGGGAAGTAGTTTAATGTGTACGTACACCCAAGTGTACGTTCTTTATGGGGGAGGTGTGACGGCCCTGGCCATGGTGTTTGGCCTGGTACTGCTTGTGTTTTGTATTTCAGGGTTTGGCGTCATCTGGTGGTTGGCGGTGGCATGCCTGCTGGTCGTGGGAGACTCGCCAGCTGGTCGGGGGAGACTCGCCCACCTGCCTGCTGATTGCGGATGGGCTTCACCTGGGTGGAAGGGCATACAAACCGGGCTGCCAGAGCTTTCAGGGGTTCCTCGGGACAGATTGGACTTATCTCCCTCTGCTCTTGCATTTTTTTGGTGGTTCTGAAATAAACTAAAACCTAAGCAAGTTGACTGTGTGGACCTCCATTTTGAATGTTAGGGCCTACACGAGCTGGCCGTAACACTAGGAGGCTGCCACAAAGAGCTTGGTAACGCTGATCATTAGGAGGCTGCCACAAGAAGCTTGGAAAGTTGATCAAACTGCAAAAGATGACAACACATTAAGTTGTGAGTGCAAGTACCAGAATACCCAGAAATGCAGACAAGTCGAAATTGAATTAGAGCTCTGACCAATGAAAAGAGATAAAATTTGAACATTTAGAATGGACTAGCAATTATTTTACAAACAAATAAGCTTCAATAACTAAGATCAAGTCATGAAATTATTTAAATTCTGCCATTTTATTAAAATATCAAACACACAGGAACAACATTAACCTTCCTGCATGTATTCACTGACAATCTGTAACTAGAATGTACATTTACTGCTTAACCGACAGCTTTACTGAAGGAGAGTTAAATATGAATGTCACAGCAAAGGGTCTGAATACTTATGACCATGTGATATTTCAGTTTTTCTTTTTAATAAATTTGCAAAAATTTCTACATTTCTGTTTTTGTTCTGTCAAGATGGGGTGCTGAGTGCATTAATGAGAAATAAAATGAACTTTTTTGATTTTAGCAAATGGCTGCAATGAAACAAAGAGTGAAAAATGTAAAGGGGTATGAATACTTTCCGTACCCACTGTATATTGGTAAGTATTCATTTTTTTGAGCTGTAGTACTTTAGACTGTACCGCTGGTGTATTCAGTGCTGTTTACCAAAATTCGTGCAATGTTGATGAGGGCGAACTTTACTTTGAAAGTCTGAGTTTGCAGACTAGCTTGGTAACACTTAACATGGCCACTAGCTAGCATAATAGTCCAGACATGAACATAGCAGTCGCAAAACTGCAATTGAGAAAGGCAAAAGAATTGTGAGGCGAATGAACTTGCCCTCACTTATTATTTTACTTAAGATAGGTGTGAGGAGCGTGAGCGGGGAAGATTGTGGCCTGTTGTCTGCCCGGACACCGCGGTGTCTCTCTGCGTTCATACCGACCAGCGGATTACTTTCCCCTGAGAGCTGGACGGTGAACCAAGAATATTTATCTAACTATTTGTTGTGCGTGTTTAAACCTGTTCAATAGCAGTGTTTCCCTTACCAAAGACCGAACTTCAACCTGCAGACGGTTTCCCACTGATATGGTCCACTCCAGCCAGAAGACGTTATGCTAATGAGTTATGCCCGCGAAGATGGTATCGCACATGCGCAAAGGGCGGCTCCACATTCCAACTCATTTATTTTGTGTCATCAAATCCATCCCATAGGGTAAATTGTTATACATTTTATGTTTCACTGATTAAATATATATGTGTATATTATCAAACTAGATATTTTTAAATAAATCCAACAATACTTAAGTGTGTCACATCTAAGAAGGGCTTGAATCAGTTTTATGAGTGTTGTTAGTTTGGTTATTGGTTTTTGTTTTTGCTGTTATTTCTATGTGCAAATATTTGTAGGTTTGTTTTTTTGTCCACTTTATCACCAATAAAAAAATGTTATGTAAAAAAAAATCTTATTACCCATAATCCTCTGCTTGTAAAGAGTGTGTATTGTTTAAGTGCGTTTACAATGAGGTTTATAATCCAAAACAAATATGAGGGCTGATTGATTTTTAAGGTCTTTATCATGTCTGAGCTGCTTCAGTGAAGTGTGTCAGTCTCTGCAGAAACTTCCAGCTGCAGCAGTCAGTTCAGTTTCTGTTCAGTCTGACTGAGGGAGGTTTTTGTACGACGCTTTTCACTGTGTGAACACATCTGACTGTTGATATAGTGATAACTCTGACAGTAGTAAACTGCTGCATCTTCAGTCTGGACTCCACTGATGGTCAGAGTGAAGGCAGAGTTTGATCCACTGCCTGAAAAACGATCTGGAATCCCTGATGCTCGAGTGCTAGCAACGTAAATGAGGAGTTTAGGAGTTCCTCCATCTTTCTGTTGGTACCAGGCTAAGAAGTGGTATGGGCTGCTATAAAAACATTCTGACTGGTTCTACATGAGATGGAGACGGAGGCTCCCAGAGCAGAGTCATGCTGCAGGCTGAGTCACTGTGACCTGTCCTCTGGACTCTGAGGATACAGAGACAAAAACAGAAAGCAGCATCAGGGTTTAGTGGGCTTCATTTCAGAGGACGGATGTTCATAGAGGAGAGGAGTTTGATTCTCTGGACTTTACCTGTGAAGCAGCAGCAGAGGAGGAGAGTCCAGATGAGGACGCACATCAAAGTCATGTTTTTGATGATGAGGACGAGGATTTCTGTTGTGATGAAGGACAGCTGTCAGTCATCCAGTGTTCAACTGTCAGGACTATAAAGTCTCCCAGAGCACTGGAGCATGGTGCTGCTGATGCAAAGTGGCTCTCTATGGAAATGTTCTGACTGACTCCAACAGGGATCACTCTCATTACTCTGTTTATCAATCAATCAATTAATTATACAATTCATTAGAAAACTTTCAAAACAACTTTAATAGATTTCATGTTCATGCTTCTAGAAACATTTATCCTGATATAAATCAGGAGTTGTAATTAATAATATTCTTGAGAAAATGATTTAAAAATAATTCAAAGATTTAAATATCTCAAAGAAAGACATTCTTTAATCTGTTATAATCTTTTAGATTCTGTTTTCATTTGGTCTCAGAGGTCTTGCAGGCAGAGACTCATTGAGGTGTGTGTTTGTGTCAGAGTCAGAGAGCCGTGTGTCTCTACAGCGAGAGGTTTTGTACGACGACTCCATCAGTTTGTATCACTGTGGTCACGTTCGGTGGAGGAACCAGACTGGATATTGGAAGTAAGTCACATATTCAGCTTTTATTCAATCAGTAAGTTATTCTGGTGTCTTTTGTCTTCATATTCAAGCCTGGAGGAAAAGAAAATACTGACCTTTAACTTTTCAATCGTTTGTTTTAGAAAGAATAAAGACAACATTTGACTTTAAAGGATTTCAGTTTAAAACAGAAACACAGACTGAATTTAAATGAAGGTAAAATGTTTGAAGCCAGAGTTTTTATTTGTTGGGAAATAGATGATTTTCACTCTCATGGTAAGGTGACATGTGGAGTTGTGGTAGTTTGAGTTCAGTGTGTTAAAGTCAGAGAGCCGTGTGTCTCTACAGTGAGAGGTTTTTGTACGGCCGCTCAATGACTTTGTACCACTGTGGTGGACTTTTGGTGGAGGAACCAGACTGGATGTTGGAAGTAAGTTTCTGTATGAATATTAAACCTAATGTTAAAATACAGATTTGTATTTTGATCCACATAAATCACACTTTGACAACCTCAAAGACAGCTGCTAAATAATGTTCTATTCACAAGGTTTTTCTAACAATCGATATGGACGCCTTAATGACTGAAACAACTGAATGAAAATCATCAAATCAGCTTTTTTACTGAAAATGTTAATGACCAGGATTTTAAATTGTCTAGTGGTTTATGTTTATCAAAAGAAAAGAGAGGAAAACATCTAAATGAATGTGTTTTAGCTCAAAGAAATATTTTAAATCTGTTAAATAAAGCGTGATATCATCAGCATAGAGAGACATCAAATCAGTGCTACTACAATTCAAACACTGACAAAACTACAAAGCAGATTCATTCAGATATTATTTATAGTAGTCTAATATATATCTTCATGTTTTGTTTGTTTCAGCAGCTGTCTCTCTGTTTATTGTCATTGTTAAACTCTAACTCTAATGAACTCTTATCATGTTTTATCGGTCCTGCTTTACCGTGATGGTTCACTCAGGACAGTTTGATTCTGTCACACTGAAACATAAACAAGTTGATGTTTAACAAAGAGAGGTGTTTTAAATGTTTTCCTCAGATTCATTTTCTGACAACTCTTTAAGGTATTTTTCTG